GGCTCGGTCGCCCGCGCCGTGCCGCCGCGGGGGGCCGGGCCGCCGCGGCGCGCCGCCTCGGCCCTCCCCCATGGCGCTGCTCGCTCTGCTGGCCTCGCTGCTGCCGTGCGGGGCCGCGGCCGTCGGCATCGACCCGGTCATCACCAGCCTCGAAGTTATCCCTACCCTTGAGATTGACACGCCGATGACAATCTTAGGGATGCACCCTCAGAAACTGAGGGAATCCCTAGGCCCTAAGATCGCCATCGTGATGAGGCGATGCCCAACATAGGGATAGGGGGAAGGGATATGTTCCGGGCTGGTAAGGTCAGGCAACGACAGCACCCTCCACTTGGGGCCGCCTGGTCGTCTGAGCTGGCTGGCCCAGCACCGGTTCTGGGCCGCACGAGGGGCGGGCAGGTTTGCGGCATTGGGTTCGGGCGGTCCTTTGCCTTTGTCGTGTTCGGGCCCCGGGGCCGTCAAAAGCGGGTTTTGGGTGGAAGGCGGCGCCATGATGAACCCGGGAGGTGCCCCGGGATTGATTTGAGCGGATTTGGTTCCATCCCCCCTCCTGACCGATTTCCTGGGGTCAACCAGCTCAGGCCCCTCGGCCGCCTCCAAGTGCACGTCACACGTTACATATTTTTAGCTCGACGCCGGCGGCGCTCTTGGCGGACGACCGCTCAAGAGAGAACCGGAGCTCCGAGGGCGACGCCCAGTTCCTCATCCAGGCCACTTTCGGTCCCACCCGCGGCAGCCTGGAGGAGCTGGGCCAGACGACGCTGCAGTCCTGGGTCAGGACGCAGCTGCAGACCCCCGCCACGGCCCACCGCGAGTACTACCGGAAGCGGGTCAGCAGCCGACTGGTCGACAGCCCTTGGATCGGCTCGCCGCGCTCGCGGTGTTCGGCAGGCTCCCGCTGGCACGCTTTTGCTTTCAGCGTCGCGGACAAGGGCAAGTGGGTCAACATTACGGGCAACAAGATATACGTCGACGGTGCACACAGGAGCGACATCGACCCCGCCAACTCTGGGAACGGGCTGCCGGCCCCCGACAATTGCACGAATGAGTACAATTCGTGGATGGCGCAGAACTACCCTTCAACACCTTGCAGCTACTGGCTGTCATATGCCAGGCACGTGTGCGGCCGCGCGGCGTTGACGTCCTCTTGGACTTCAAGCCACTGGTGCCGTCAGAACTGCTTTGACACGGGCAACCCGTACCCTGGAGACGATTGTTCTCCCGGGTGGGTGGATCTGGAGATGTCGGGCTATCTCTGCAGCGTCGAAGAGGACCTGGGCGGCCTCCTGAAACTTGGACACACGGAGTCTTGCGAAGTGGAATACGCTTCAGGCTCGTGGAATCTGGACGACGGACTCCGACCACTTCTAAATCCACTGATATGGTTCTCCAGCCCCCCAGGCGATTCTAGCGTGACGCTGGCTTTCCAGGAGGTCAGACCACGAGTCGTCACGCTCGCGCAGAGCCGCGGCGAGGAACCTTGCGATCTGGGAGAGTTCGTGTACCACGACGGCCAGCATTACCTAGCCGACGCCAGGCTGGAACTGCTCCAGAACGACATTTCTTCTCCCTCCGGCGGCGAGCTCAACACCTGCCGGGCTGTGCCCAGGACGTTCCTCAACGAGGGCAGCTGCCAGCTACGCACAGCGTGCGGTGCCCTGGAGGTGGGGGGCACCCAGCCCCCGTCGACTTTTGTCCTGAACGCGACGACCTTCGAATTCTTTTTGAACTTCTCCGAGAGGTATGTGTACGCGGTCACGGGCCTTGTCGACACCGTGTCGCCTTGCGGGAGACAATCGCGATGGAGGCTGCTGGACTGCAGCTTGGAGAATTGCAGCGTAACTTCCATGAGCGCTACCGAGGCCACCGCCGTGGCCTCGGCACTCGCGCTGGAGACGGGCCCTCTCCGTGATGTGTACGTGAGCTGCGAGGGTGTCGCAGCTGGTGCCGTTGTCGCAAGCGGTGCCAACTATTTCCTCCACGTGCATTCCAACTATCTCAACGTCTACGACTTTACGACATGGGTTAGCACGCATCCTGGCGGCATGGAGCCCATCAAGCGGTGGGCCACGGGCCCGTTCCAGCTGGAGTTCCCAGATTGGCACCCGATGGGCCGCTGGGTGTATGCGCAGCAGTACCTGGAGTACATCGGGAAGTCGGGCGACACTGTCGCCTTTGAGGCCCTGCCCCTCGGACTCCAGGCTGCCTGGACGGTGGGCTACGAGTCGTGCGGGTCTCCTGGCGAGGTGGCAAACGATCCGAGCTTGGGGCACCACTTCGGCTTCATCACCGACTGGGACAACTCGCGCATCGCCGACAAAGACTTCGAGGTGCCATTCTGGATCATGTGGAACTCGCTTCAGAAAACGAACGTGTGGACCAATGTGGCGCTGGAGGCAGACGACCAGCTGCGTCAGCGGGCGGCCTGGGCGTTCTCCCAGATCCTGGTGACCAGCGTCAACGGTGCCTCGGCTGCCCACGACTCCACGGAGAGCTGGCTGACCTACTACGACATTTTTGTTCGGAATGCGTTTGGCAGCTACCGTGACATACTCATGGAAGTCACCCATAGCCCCATCATGGGTGAGTACCTGAGTTTCCGGAACAGCAGGTCGCTGGACTCCGCCGGGAACTACCCCGACGAGAACTACGCGCGGGAGATTATGCAGTTGTTTACGATCGGTCTGTGGGAGCTCAACCAGGACGGCACCAGAAAGACTGACGCGAACGGAAATTACGTGCCGACGTACACAAACGAGCACATCATGAGCTTCGCGCGCGTGTTCACCGGCTTCGCGGAGCAGGCCGCGCGCCCAAACATCGAGCATTTCCAGACGAGGAATTGGTTTGACCCGATGCAGATCATCCAGCTGCCCCCGGCAGTTCCGCCACCGTGCCAACGCAGCAGTCTGGGTGGCGGCTATCAAAGGGGCTCGGGAGGCCGTCACGTGTGACATTCTGGGCCTCTCCAAGGCCCTGGAGCCTAGAGGCTGATTGGGTGTCTCACCAGAGCATCTGAGGGACCTCTTGGGGGCTCTTGGCAGCGTCTTGGGGGCGCCCCAGGAGCTTTTGAGGGGTCTTTGTGCAGTCCGAGGGCGCTCTTGGGCCGTCTGGACGCTTGAGGAGTCTGCCTTGGGGGTCTCTTGGGGACCTCGAGGCCGACTGAGGGCCTTCTTGGGCTGCCTTGGAGTAATCTTGGATCGCTCTTGGGCCATCTTGGAACCCTCGGGCCGTCTTGAGGCCATCTTGGAGGCTTACTCGGCCATCTGGGGCTCACGGAAGTCCGAACAGGTGACACTTCGAGGATCTATTTTGGTATATTCGGGCCCTCCTGCAGGTTCTTTTGGAGCCGTCTGGGCAGTCCTGAGGCAATCTTGGGGTGTCTTAGTGCCGTCGTGGGCTGTCATGTCTTGAGCCATCTTGCCGGTCTTGGCAGCTTGACCAGGCCTTCCTGGAAGCCACCTTGAGCATTTATATGGACGCCTTGAAGAGCGCCAAGGAGTCGCCTGGCAGCCCAGGGAGCCTGGGGAGGGGGGGGGCGGTGCAGGGGAGGGATTGCGAGTACAGGGTGGGGAGTCCGTCTTAGAGGACTACAGAGCCCCTGTCGGTAGCACTTCGCCTCCGACACGCCTCAACGCGCCCGGAGGCACTGTGGCGGATTGAGGATTGGCACGACGTGTACCCAAAGCCAGACTTGAGAGGCGGCTACCTTGGTGATGGCTATCCGCTGTGCGCAGACCTCCCTCCACGCGCCTTCTTGCTTCAGGGGGCGAAGTACAGGTTCGTGGGGTATACCTACGCGGGAACCGACGTGCTCGCACTGAGCTCCGAGTCGGCGTTGTATGCGGCGTTGGCTCAGATTCAGATCAAAGTTGAGCTCAACAGGACCACGGAGTCAGCGACTCAGCGACTGTCCCCCTCAAGGTGCACTGTGAGGTGATCTGTGGGGTCCCCATGTCTGGTCCCATGTCCGTAGACGCGCTAGCGGCAATGCGGGTAATGGCGATGTAGGTTTCGGCATTGGAGGTGGGATTGGTTCGTGGCCAAACCAATTGTAGGACATCGTGGCTCGTGCTGTCCTACAACTCGCTGTGTCGTTGTCTCTCGATATGTTCGCACATTTGAAATGTAGGAAAGCGGGGTCTGTGATGTCCTGCAATTTGTGCTGCGCGAGCTCGGTGTCACAAACATCAGATTCCCAACATCGCCGTTTACCAACATTGCCGTTAGCGCGGCCTTGGCATGTAGGGGGTCCCGGGGTCCCTGTGGTGTCCTTCCACGGTGCCCTGTGAGGGTCCTTGCGGGAGTCCCTGTCTAATGTAGACTTCCCTCTGGGGTCCTTGTCTGGCACCCTAACAAACACAGCAAGCCCTGCGAGAGAGAATGCAATACGTTCAGTATGCCTGAGAGGGGGTTAGCGCAATCCAAAACATTCTTCCGTGCGGGAGACACTGATGTGTAGTACCGTCTGCGGGAGACACGGACACTCTCCTCGCGAGGGGCGATGCAACCCGTGGAAGGGGCAGATGCAGTGCAACATTTCTTGTGGGAGGCGGCCGCTCCCTCGCCAGGACCCTGCAGTGCCACGCCGAGGAGTGCGTTGTCAGCACCCTCCGTGTTGTCCGGGCGGCGGGAGGGTACTACCAGCTCGTCCAGCCCACGTGCGTGCATCTCTACTTCTTCAACGGCCGCGTCGTCGTCCCTGGCCAAACCGAGCGCGCCGGCTCCATCCAGCACTCCAGCAGCTACTACGCGTGGAGAGGCAGCGGGGGTGGACAGACCTCCTACCCTGACGCGTCGATGAAGGAATTGGTCGTTTGCGTCGCGGCCGTCATTTTTGCGGGTCCAGGTCCGTCGGTTTCGGTCCCAGGCCGTTTTCCCTCGGGGGAGGTCTACGAAAGGGAGGCTTGTCCACCGCCGAAGGCACGTGTACCAGTCCACACGCTGTGGCCGCCGGCACGGCCTGCTGCAAGGGCTGCAGCAACTACTTCCCGCAGTCTATGATCGACAGCGGGCACACGTGCGAAAACATGCCAGAGACGCTGTCATGGGCGATTCGCACTGGCTGCGCAAACCTCAGCGGCTGGTACACCGAGAATAGATACTGCCAGCTGACATGCTGGGAGCAGGGTGTCCCATACACTGGGGACAACTGCGCGGACGGAGCGATTCAGTCGCAGAACGTGTGCGGATATTACCAGGAGAAGGTCAGTTTCGAGTCAGCAAGCGCGGAGTGCGAGAGACTCGGCATGCACGTCTGCGAGCAGGCTGTGAATGGTACCGAATGCGGCCACGACGGTATTGACGTATGGACCCCGAACACGTGCACTGTCAGCGTGGAGGTACGGGAAGACGGCAAGGTGATGTTCCAGCTTGATTCGAAAACGAAGCAGAATCCGATCCTCGTGGCGTGGGCCGACGGCTTCCCCACGTTGGGTAATTGCTCCAGCCCGTGCAGCGAGAGCAGTTCCGGATGCATCTGCCCCATCGTTGTGGAGACGCGCGCCGTCTTCGCCGCAGTCCCGAGCAGGTCGGAGCTCCTCGGCAATGCGGCCCGCCTGCGCATTGGCGCATTCCCTCAGGCCTCCGCCGACTGCTTGGCACCTTGCGATGGGGAGGTGAAGGCGTACGTAGTCGGCGGGAGTGGGAACGTTACTGAAAGCGCAGTGTTCGAGTGCGACGGGGTTTATTACAAGAATGCGGAGAGTGTTGTCGAGGTAGCGGGGCACAGCTTCCGCAATCCACCCGTGTTCATGCTCGCGAAGGAGATCACAGGGCGGTCAGTGCGCACAGAAGAAGTATTCGCTGAAGTTGAGGCTTTGATGGACCACCTCTACTACCACACGAATTTGCCGCCATTCTTGGCATACAGGCTTATCCAGCGCATGGCTTCTTGGGGCCCCCTTGGGCCGTCTTGCGGGCCTCTTGCGGGCCTCTCAGGCTGCTTTGTGGTGATCTTTGGAGGACCCATGGGGCTTTCTTGCAGCTTCGTAGCCCAAACAGGCAACAACGCTGAAATCATTGAAGAACCTGATGAGCATCAATGAATACGGCCTCCAGGAGGTCCTTTCGGAACCCTCTTGAGGCATCTTGGGGGCCTCTTTGGGCCGACTGTCTGTCTCGACGTTCCCGTGTTTTTCGTATGCTTTGTTTTGTTTTTTTGTTGTGTGTGGAGCCTTTCCAAAACCACAACAACTGAACATGTAATCAAACACACAAAAAAAAGGTGGCGGGATTTCAGTTTCTGCTTTTCCCCAATCAGAGCTTGCCTCTGTAGGGGTCCTAGCGGATTCAGATGGTTAGGTTAGGTTTGTCGCCGATTTTCGCGGCACGCCCGGGTGCCCGGGTGCCCGGGGTTGCCCGGGGCCCGGGTGCCCGGGGGTGCCCAGGGGTGCCCAGGTGCCGAGGTGCCTGGGTGCCCGGGCGTGCCCAGGCGTGCCCGGGGGAGCCCGGGGGTGCCCTATAGCCCTAAGCCCTATAGCCTCGAAGCCCAATAGCCCAATAGCCCTACAACTCTATAGCCCTACCTATACGACCACCCTTCGGGTGATAAGGAGGTGTGGGGGGGGGAGGGGCCAACGTCGCACTCGATCGATCTCACTATCGAACTCACTACTGATCTCACAATCGATCTCAATCGATCGATCTCACGATCGATCTGATTATCGATCGCACAATCGATCTCACAATCGATCTCACCATCGATCTCACAATCGGTCTCGGTATTGATCTCACAATCGATATCACAATCGATCTCACAGTCGATCTCACATTCGATCCGACTATCGATCCCGCTATCAAACTCACAATCGATCTCATTATCGATCTCACATTCGGTCTCACTATCGATCTCACTATGGATGTCACAATCGATCTCGCAATCGATCTCGCATTCGGTCTCACTATCGATCTCACTATCGAACTCACTTTCGATCTCATTATCGGTCTTACATTCGGTCTCACTATCGAACTCACTATCGATATCACAACCGATCTCACAAGGTCTCACCATCGATCTCACTATCGAACTCACTATCGATCTCATGATCAATCTCAATCGATCGATCTCACAATCGATCTGACTATCGATCTCACAATAGATCCCACAATCGATCTCGCATTCGGTCTCGCTATCGATCTCACTATCGATATCACAATCGATCTCACATTTGATCTCCCATTCGGTCTCACAATCGATCTCACTATCGAAACCACTATCGATCTCACAGTCGATCTCACAATCGGTCTGACATTCGGTCTCACGTTCGATCTCACAATCGATATTACTATCGACCTCACTATCGATCTCACATTCGATCTCACTATCGATCTCACTATCGATCATCGAAGTAAAACATCAACATTATCATCACCATCATCACCATCATCATCATCATCATCATCATCATCAGCATCATCATCATCATCATTGTCCTCATCATCATCATCATCATCATCATCATCATCATCATCATCGGGACACCGACGGGGCACCGACGGGACACCGGCGGGACACCGCGGGGCCCCGGGCGCCCGGAAGGGAGACGTTTGGTCCGGCCGCGCCTCAGCCACAGGAGACACCAGCGGGACACCAGCGGGACACCGCGGGGCCCCGGCCGCCCGGAGCCCGGAAGGGAGACATTTGGTCCGGCCGCGCCTCAGCCACAGGAGACTTTCTCTCGCCCGCCCACGCAGCTTCGCCTCGCCCGCACGCACGGCACGCACGAACACGAAACCGAAGTCGATTTCCCGGTAGGGGGGCTCTCCGTTCCACTTCGATCTCACCCCCTCATCTCCGATAACTCTATAGGCCTATAGCTCGATAGCCCTATAGCCCTATAGCCCCCTAGCCCTATAGCCCTGATTTGGGTTTTTCTCCGGTATCATTATGATTTTTCTTGTTCGGCCTCTTCCCTGACGTGTTCTGGCTCCCTTTCAACGGAAATCCTTTTGTGGGCGACGTTCACATTGATTCGTAGTGATTATCCATCGGTTCCTCTTCTGCGGCTTTAGAGGATTATTTTTCTGTAGGCGATTTGCACATTGAGGTCCAGTGCGCCGGTCACAGGTGAGCCTCCAAGATGGCCAGACGGCCCTAGAGTGCCCCAAGACGGCCCTGGAGACCGCCCAGATGGCCCCAGATGGCTTCCAGACCGCCCGAGAGGCCCCAATATGGCCCCAAGACGGCCCCAAGTGGAAGAGGCTCACAAGAGGCTCCCAAGAGGCTCCCAAGATGCGAAAATCTGTCCAAAACCTAGTGACAGCAACTATGTTTAAAGATCTTGCCTTTTCATTTCCACTGGGGACGGTTTCTCCTAATGGTGAAATAAGCGTTTTAATGGTGAAATAGAAATCTTAATGGTGAAATGGAATTTCTTAATGGTGAAACAAAATATCTTAATGGTGAAATAAAATACCTTAATGGTGAAATAAAATACACCACGTAAACACACCACGCAAAAACACAACGTAAACCGCCGCTCCAGCGGCGCATGCAAACACCACGCAAAAACACCACGTAAACGGCGCACGCAAACACCACGCAAAAACACCACGTAAACCGCGACCCGCCCCACGGCGCTCCGGCGCCGCTCCAGCGGCGCACGCAAACACCACGCAAAAACACCACGTAAACCGCGACCCGCCCCACGGCGCTCTGGCGCCGCTCCAGCGGCGCACGCAAACACCACGCAAAAACACCACGTAAACCGCGACCCGCCCCACGGCGTTCCGGCGCCGCTCCAGCGGCGCACGCAAACACAACGCAAAAACACCACGCAAAAACACCAAGCAAAAACACCACGTAAACCGCGACCTGCGCCACTGCGCTCCTGGGGTGCTGCAGCGGCGCTGCAGCGGGCTGCGTCCCCGCGCCGCCCCAGCGGTGCACAAATACACTACGCAAATACACCACGCAAAAACACCACGCAAAAACACACCACGTGAACCGCGACCTGTCCCACGGCGCTCCGGCGCCGCCACAGCGGTGCAAAAAAACACCACGCAAAAACACCACGCAAAAGCACCACGTGAACCGCGACCTTCCCCACTGCGTCCCCGCGCCGCCCCAGCGGCGCACAAAAACACCACGCAAATACACCACGCAAAAACACCACGCAGAACAAAAAAACACGCCGCGTGAACCGCGACCTGCCCCACTGCGTCCCCGCGCCGCCCCAGCGGCGCACAAATGCACTACGCAAATACACCACGCAAAAACACCACGCAAAAACACACCACGTGAACCGCGACCTGCCCCACTGCGTCCCCGCGCCGCCCCAGCGGCGCACAAAAACACCACGCAAACACACCACGCAAAAACACCACGCAAAACCGCTACGTGGTGTTTTTGCGTGGTGTTTTTGCGTGGTGTATTTGCGTGATGTCTAATTCACCCTCCAGCGTTCGCGTGGTGTTTTTGCGTAGTGTTTTTGCGTGGTGTATTTGCGTGGTGTTTTTGCGTGGTGTCTGATTTCACCATTAGGACGAACTCTCTCCACTGGGGCTCCGAGGTCTCAGGATGGGCCACCACTTGCCCTGGAGGAGCCCCGGAGAGTCCCGAGACAGCCCCACATGGCATTAAGGCGGCCCTCGAGGTCGCTCAGGCAGCCCCAGATAGCTTACAGACGGCCCCGGACATCTCGAAATGGCCCTCAGAGGCCCCTAAGAGACTCCCAAGGGTCCTCCTGGAAACATCGAGGAGCCCCACATCCTCAGCCTCTCCGAAGGGTTTCGAAGGCCTCTCCGTCTCGCTTCCCTAGGTCTCTGAGGCCCCAGGATGGTCCAGAATTTGCATCGACATCTTCAGATACACTACCTTTTCAAGGACCCGCCAATTCTCGACAGATCCAAGGCCCCCGGCGGCCGGAAACGAGGACGAATTTCAGGGAGTCCGTGATAGCCCTGAACTCAACGACGAGTAGACGGCGGCCATGACGACGGCGACGGCGACGAGCGGCTGGCCGACGACGGCGACGGAGACGACGATGGGGACGAGCGGCCGGTCCCGACCAGCGCGGGGGCTTTCGGGCGCTGCGCACGCGCGAGCGCGGGATGCCGGCGCCTTGCGGGGGTCTGGGGAGGGGTTTGGAGCGAAGGGGCGTTCGCCCCGGCCTCGATCGTCCCGTCTGCACCCTGGCAGGGCTCCGTGGCTGCTGATTCTGATTCCGATTCGACTTCGGATACAGATTTGGGCTCCCAGTTTCCATGGAGGCCTACTGGCCTGCCGATATCCGCCGACTCGACTTCTCCCGACTCGGCTGCTGAGTTCAGCCGATCCGATTAATTTCGATCGCCGATCCGACTTACCGATTCGATTCTGGGCTTTCCTGCCATGGGGTGCGACACGTCCAGTCGCTGCCCAAAACGCTCTTCTCTCCAGGATCCCCTGGATGGCGCAGGTGGCCTCCACAGCACCACGCCCAAGGGGCTCCAGGGGCCCCCCAACGGCGTGCGATGCGGAGGAGCATGTGTCGGAGGGCCAGGAGCGCTTTCGACAACCGCCGAGACGGGGAGATCACGCCCCGCTCGTGCTGCTCTGCGCGACGCCCGGACGTCAGGGAGGTTCTGGATTGGAGCAAGCGGGTCCTCAGGGAAAGAGATCCTGGACCCCTTCAGGAGGGAAAACACACAGACACAATTAATCGTCCCCTCCCAGGAAAATATGGGAAAGTATAGGAAGTGGGGGGGGAGTCAGAAACCTAGAAAATATGGGAAATTATTGGGAATTCTGTTATTTGTGTATTTATTTGTGTGTCGCAGGGCCCCTTCACCCCTGCCCCAAGGCCAGCTTTTCGCATTTAGTCGTTCATGACGGCCCCGGGGCCCATGCCATGCAGGGCCCCCAGAGCCGGAAGATCGAAGAAGACCTGCAGGACGCGTTCTCCTTCAGGACCCGATGGCCCCATCACCGCTGGGCCATGGAGTCTGAGCCCCACCATCTCACCACCCCAGCTGAGGATAGTCTCCTCGAAATCCACGGGCACAAATGTTTCCATGGACATCGAGGGGA